AACAAGAACGCTAGCGCTGCCAGCTTACGCCCCATCACCGCTGCCGAAACCCCTGTGGTAACTGACCTATACAAGAGCCACAGCAGCGCATCCAACCGCGCCTCCTCTGAGAGCTGACCCTCTGTCTGCTGCACCAGTTCGTCCCATTCCCCCCACACCTTACTGTATGCTGCCCAGGTAGCGGGTGCCAGGGAATCCCTGATCAGTCCGCCAAGCATGCTGTCCCGAGCCGCCACATCTCGTCCGGGCAAGACATCCCTTCCTCCCGTGCGCCAGGTGCCACCTGCCGAAATCTCTCCCACTGTGAACGAGACAACGCATCAGCAATGACATTCAACAGTCCCGGCACGTGGCGCGCCTGAAACACAATGTTAAACCTCATACAGAACAAGACAAAATGGCGAAGAAGCCGCACCACCGGGATAGAGGACGCTGATAGCCCGTTCACTGCATCTACCACTGCCATATTGTCCGAAAAGAATACCACCTTCTTATCCCTCAACTGTGGACCCCATAGTGACAGCGCCACTACCAACGGGAACAGGTTGCGTATCAGCGGGCTGGCCTTCCAGGCACCTGGCCAAGTACCCGCGCACCATTGTCCCGAAAAGTAAGCCCCAAACCGACACTCCCCGACGCGTCCGTAAACAGCTCCAACTCCTGAGAAGACGCCGCCGGCTCCCGAAAGAACACTTTCCTGTTAAAATCCCGCCAGAATTCCCCCCAGATGTCCAAGTCAGCCTTCATGGCCCCTGATACCCGAATAAGGTGGTGCGGGAACACCACCCCGCCGTTGCCATGGCTAGGAACATGTTAAAAACCCGTCCGACCGGGATCACCCGACAGGTGAAGTTTAGCAGACCGAGCAGAGACTGAAGCGCCCGGAGCGTAACCTTCTTAGCTCCCCGCACCTCCGCCACCACCTGCCGGAGTGCCAATAACTTGTCCTGTGGCAGCCTGCCGAGTCGATCTCCAAGCCCAAGAAACTCAGGTCGCAGGTCGTAGGCCCCACCATTTTGTCACTTGCCAAGGGGACTCCAATCACGTGCGCCACCCATTCCAGTGTCCTCAATCCCCTGCGACATTCCTCTGATCCGGGAGGCCCTACACATAGGAAATCATCCAGATAATGGACTACCATCCTAGTGCCCGCTTCCAGCTTTACCACCCATTCCATGAATGGGCTAAATTTTTCAAAGTACGCGCACGATATAGAGCACCCCATGGGCAAACAAAGATCTATGTAATATTCCCCCTCGAAGTGACAACCCAGCAAGTGATGGCACTTCTGGTCGAACGAAGCGTACAAAACCGAAGAAAGGGCCCTGTCTATGTCGTCATTAACTGACGACCCCTTGGGGTAGGACAGATGGTGAATCAGGCTGTACTTGCCGGGCTCCTTCTTGGGTACTACCCCAAGTGGTGATACTCTCAAGTTGGGTAACGGGGGCTCCCTGAACGGCCCCGCCACCCTGCCCAGCTGAACCTCCTTATGCAACTTCTCCCTAACCACCCCCGGAAATTCCCCTGCCGACTTCAGGTTGCGAAGATGATGAGCCACCACTCGCTCCTGAAACGGGATAACGAACCCGTTGGTGAACCCCTCCTCTAGCAATGCCGCATCTTCCCTGTTAGCGTAGTGGCTTAGCCACGACCGCATCGCGCCGACCTTCACTGATGTGGCCCCCAGAAGCAGGGGACCCTACCGAACCTCCAGGCACCCCTGCTGCGGAGGCTGACTTCCCTTTTTTGAAACACCTGTGAAGTCCGTGGGTGCCTCCACACCCGGAGCACTCGTGCTTGAATCGACAAGTGGCCCCCCACTTGCACTGTCCCTCATTATACAGCCAGCAGAAGCCCGTTTTTGGTTGGCCGACACGGTGGTAGATGCGCCCCTGCCGGCCCCTGTCTGAAAGGGGGACGCCTTCTGTGCCATCATAAGTTTTATCCAGAGGGGTAGGTCCATCTGGTCCCACCGCATCCCTGGATTAGCAGCCAGGCGCTGACAAACCTGCTCGTCATACCGCCACCAGGCCAGACCCCCGTATGTCCGATAAGCCTCCCAAATACCATCCAGGTAACAGAAGAGCTGTGAACAGTGCTCTTCCGCCTTTTCGCCCATCACGCTGGCCAAGATGCAAAATGCCCTCAGCCAGTTCCCAAACGTCTTAGGTATCTTCCTATACCTCCGCTTCTTTTCCTCCTCCTCCTTTTTGGCATCCTTTTTATCCTCCTCCTTGAGGTCAATGTAGTCCTCAAGGGGGAGAAGCGAAAAGATTTCCACGAACTCCCCTTTCCATATCCTCTCCTTAACCTCCATTTTGAGATGACAGCCCAGTGGGCCTGCGAAAGAAACATGAACGTTCTGCCGTGCGGCCTCCGGGACGCCCCCCAATAAGCTCTCCCTCTCACTCACCAACCCGGGCGCCTCTACTGTGGGGGTCGCACCCCCGTCCCCAACTGTGCTGCCTCCGGTCCCAGAGACCCTCACCGGACTAGCCCCTGAGACCTCTCCCACCCGAGCCCAAACCTGACTGCACTCACTGTCCTTCCTTCTCCCTACACCCCAGGAATCAATTAAATGCCTAATGTCATCTAGCAGCTCCCCCGACTGTTGTAACGACCATGTCTCACCTTCCGTACCCCTTGCCACCAAAGGCCGTGGGGTTGCTGACCGACCGCAGATCTCCTGCCCCAAGCGTCCCGCTGCTCCAGGCCGTGCTCCTGATGCACTGGGTCTCACCCGATCCGCGGGGGACCTGGAAGACGCCTGTCCTGTAACCGGGTCCGCCTTGCATGCCGGCGACCGTCCTGCTGTCCTTGTCGCGTGGGGTCTCTCCCTCTCCGAGGGTGACCGTCCTCGAAACCTGGAAGGAGTAGACATCCTGGGTAGGCTGGCCGTAGAAACACTGCCCTGTCCCCTCTCGTCCTGGGAACAGCCCCCCATCTCCCTGCTAGCCGTCCCCACCACGAGGGGCATGAGCTGCACAGCAGCCCGCCTCCTCTACGGGGAACTCCAGCTCGTGGAACTGATGTCTTGCTGCGACCATCCCCTTGAACCGACAGGGGGCGCCCTATGCCTCCCCCGGGTGTGGTCCACCCCGCGGGGGTCCCTGTCAACTACGTCAGCTACCCTCCGATGGCTGCTTCGTGACCGGTCCCTCCCGGCACCTTGCGCGCCCTTCGCTTTAGCCCTGCGCGCTGTCATCTTCTCTGGGGCCAACCTTCTGTTCGTCGCTGTCACTCCCTTCCGATCCTCCCCTAACTACCAGCCTCGTCTATCATCGTCCCTTCCCCGGTCATATAGGAAAACCCGGGGAAGCGCTGCGCTCCTGCCCACTGCCTGATGACCCTCTGTTCCGTCTTGCTGCGCTATACCCCTCTGGACCGCTCCGTGCCTTAGCCGCCCCCTGTCTGCCTCTTGCCCCCCTGCCGTCACTAGCCAAGCCAACACCGGGGCCCACCCCCGGGGTAACCCGTGGCCCAGCCATTGGCAGGGCATTGGCGTCAGAGGTCGACTCACCCGGACAGTGTATAGCCGTTGTCCCTGTTCCTCCAACAGCGCTTCCAGCGTTCCCGTGACCTGTTCCCGTGACCTTCACCAGTTCGCCTACCTCCACGTTCGCCTCCCGAACGTTCTGCAGTTTCCGCCAGTTTGCCGGTTCGCATACCTCCACTTTCTCCTCCCGAATGTTCGGCAGTCTCCGATTCGGTTCCCGAACCAGCAGCCTGCACCTCCAGCCTCGCTTGACGGTTCGTTCGCGCGGTTGCGTCGCGACGCCATCCACGACCTCCTCCACTTGCGGCCTCCCCGCCGGCACTCTCCTCATCGCCATTGGGACCTCCGGAAGGGCTCTTCTGACACCGGGGCACGGGAACCACTCTGGGGCTCAACCGCTGCAGAGGCCTGGTCTTCCTGACCGGCCTCTGACCCTGGGAACCTCCAGATCCGGATGGCAGAGCATCACCCAGGCAATCCCTGAGCCACTCGATCCCCGTCTCCTGCACAGCAGCCCGGACTCCTTCCAGCCAATCTTCCATCTTGCTGACCTGCAGAGGAAACAAAGAAAACAGCCACACAAATCCTGCTACAACAAACAGGTAGTGTAACTTAGATTAAAGTGATCCTTGGATCTAAAATGGCCACTACTTATACTCCCCTTGAAACTCCACCCCAGCATTACCAGTGACCAAACCCTGACCCCCTGACCTTTAGATGGCCTGTCTCCTGGCAATGTCAAGGCCCACTCCCCTTAGCTACGCTGCTCCATGGGCTACAAATGTGTGTGTGCCACATTTAATGTGTATGGCATTGTGAGAGTGTCAGCAAGTCTGTCTGGCCTTGTGTATCTTTGTGTGGCTATGTTTATATTATTCTACATTTGTATGCATGTTTGTTTAAGCATGTGTGTCAGTATTAATGATGTATGTCTGTGTCAGCACATGTGTGTTTGGCAGTGTGCATATCTGTGTATGTGTTCTATGTATATTGGGATGTATGGGAATGCATATGTGCATTGTGGAGGCTCAGAGTGTTCTGGTGGCAGCCCTGTAAACAACTACACATTTTGTCATATAATCCTTCAATATTCTGATCTGGATCAATAATATTCTCTATTAAAAATGAAAACACCACAAACTATGCAAATATCAAAAATATTTATTGATGTACAGCACATTTTTCACTTGTTGAATTTGAACACTATGCAAATCCTTAATTTCCACACTTTAATTTAAGTCTTACTTTGGTTCAGTGAAATCAATTAAACAAATATTTTCACATAACCATTTCAAGTAATCTTAATTTATCTCCTATATATTCCTTCTTAATCGTTAGAATATCACATTGCTAGAACACTTATCATTCTCTAAAACTGTTTCTTCTTAAGAGTGATTATTTGTCAAAAAATGAATGAATGTCATCATCGGAGTCTGACCATGTATGGTTTTTAGATTTATTGTCGCTTTCACATGCCTCTTCACTTGAGTCTGAAGGAGAAGAAAAATAAGAAAATGCAGAAAATTGATAAAGACAAGACAGAATCTGAGAGTGAGCATGAGGATGTTCAATGTTAGGCAACCAATATCTGGTTAGCCACCGGGAAGTTCCTTTTAGTGACTGTCTAATTAACAGCCACTAAGGGCAGTCTTAGTCCAACAATGTAATTATTGCAGTTTCTCTAAAACAGCAATGTTCAATGAGATGAAGTGGTCTGAGTGACTGTAGAATCCCTTTAAGTATACCAACTCTAGCCCTAACCCAACACCAACTCTACATCTAACCCTATTCACTATAACACTAACACTAACTCTTACCATACAACTACTCTAACCTTACCCCTACATTATTGCTAATCCTAACACCCTAAAGCAGGCCTGTCCAACCTGCGGCCCCCCCAGATGTTGCTGAACTACAACTCCCATGATTCTTTCAATGAAACAGATAGCCAGGGAATCATGGGAGTTGTAGTTCAGCAACATCTGGGGGGTCCCAGGTTGGACAGCCCTGCCCTAAAGCCTAACAGCATTAGCCCTTTCTCCACATTAACACAAATTAATGGTAACTGTAGACATAACTTTTTCTGCTGATGTGATAACTGACATCAACAGAGGGATTAACTAGCTCACAGCGTAAAGAGCACTCTGTAAGTATTTTCTACTGTTTTGAATATAGCATGAAGGGGAGATCTCCTTCTTATGATGCAGCTCTAGAAAGTGGTCCCTACAGATCACACAGTTATTAGTGCTGGACAGCTGGCAAAGTCCAATGCTAATCACTATTGGCAGGGGCATGCAAAGTGACCCTATTAGTATCTCTTCAGCCGAGATGAGTTAGATAGATTTAAAGGGCTGTCTGCAGAATTCAGTTTGATAGAGGTGAGCCCCAGGTATTGATTAAAAGGACAATCTATGCGTTAAAGCCCATTTTTTTAGGGTGGCATGAAACATCTGAATCTTGTTAAGGGATTAAATCACTATTTTTATTTTGCAGCCATAGCCATACTTCCCTAGGTTATGATTCACATAGCCTCCGTGAAACAAATAATTTAACTTGTTATCAGATCTTACAACACAGTGTGTTTACTTTACAAGTTCTTAGCTCTGTTAATCGAACTTTAAATCATGCACATATGGTTGTTGCAAGTTCTAGCAAGCCAAACAGAGTAGGAGACAAGAAATTCCAAATGTAATACATTGTGCAAAAAGGGAAGGTAAAATATTTAGACTTTAGACGTTTATCAGGAAGTGTGTAGGGAGGTTGTGTGAGTCTCAGTCAGTAAAATCTGGTATCAGATAGGAAGTGTCCCATCAAAAGAAAAAAAGGAAAAAAAGGAAACATTGCTCTGTGATATAAAGCAAAGAAAAAAAAAAGTATTATTTCATCAACAGCTGTACATTAATGAAACAACACAACCACATTTAAGAAGCTTTTTCTGTTGGCATAGCAACACGTCTAACCAGGAGCTCTTGTTGGCGGTATACAACATGTTACGGTACCCTCAGCATCAGATGCACAAACCGCCGTTTAGTAAATCCTCCCCTCTCGCAGTAACATAGGCTGTATGCGTATCATGTACAATCATACGAAGCGCAAGCAGGGGAACGCTGTACACTCACGTACTCCGTAGGGGCACTTCAATTCACGAGCTCCAAACTCACGAACCGCCAATAGTAGCCGAACGCATATATCTCCCAAGCGGCTAATAATCCCATCCAGCAGTCTCTAGTCGTCTGTAATAATTCCCTCCAATAACGAGACCAAGCTCCGCATTGAGGGTAAAACAAGAACTGGCTTTACTGTGGGCTATCTGCCCGTATTTATGCAGGTCTCCCACTTGGTGGACACTCCCCTAGAGGACCAAATGGGAGACTGTAACAATAGACAAACATATGGCAGGTTAGGACCCACAGACACAGAATATTCCCAGCATGCATTAGTATTTCCTCCCCTCTGCCCTGGAGATAATTAAAAAGTAATTCAATTATCTCCAGGACAGAGGCAAATCGCCATTTTAAATTAAGCACAAAAAAACATATAAAAATACATAACTTTACAATTGTCGACTGTTACCCATTCGTATCACGTATCACCAGATAGCCTGGATCTGAGTGCATATTATTGGCGAATAGCGCTCAGATCCCATACGCATAGTTCAATCGCCATGGAGTCAAAGTCTATTACAGTCTTTCGGTATGCGATTGACTCCATGGGAAGGCTATCTGGGGTAAGTCCATTCGTGCGTTTAAAACTCTTGAATGGCTGGTGTTCGTATACTTCCGTCGACCGAGAAGGGAGCTCGGCTGCTTCAGTGGTGTTCGGCAGAAAAAGTGTCCATTTTTAGTTCCATGAAATCCATGCCGAACACCGCTGGTATTTCGCATGGTTTAAAATGGCTGCTGCCTCGTGGTCGACATATGAATGACGACCACCCTGTATTCGGTTTTAATTGAGAAGTGTCTGCGGTTAACCACAACGTTCTAATTGGGATCAAAAGGTTAACCAGCAACACACTTCTCTTCTAGGTGGCCGTCCGTTCGGTAGTTTTGTTCGGCGGAAAAGTCAATTCACTGAACAGGGGCATACGAACGGGTAATTCCACGAAAAGGCAAAAATAGACGAACCAGTAATCCCAGTCTATACAGATGGATCTGTCACACAACAGTAGTAATCATATCCGTACTATTATATTTAAGTATGAAATAACTATTTATAGTTGTAGGTGTAACATTCCCTGCCAAGCTATATACTCCGTACATTCAAAATACGTGATTGACTTGAGGATAAAATACACTTTTGATTAGTATTAATTTGTATTTTCTGCCTTACCTTCACAATGTGTTTCAGGATCCTGTTCTTCATCTGTATTGCTGAATAAAGAATAGTCACTTATTTTAGCTATTTATTGTATATAGTTAGGTAAGTCTACTTGGAATATCATATGATATGATATCATTTATCATTTTCCTATATGTTTTACCTGGGAGAGGGAGCAGGAAGAAATTCTTGAGTGGGTAATAAAGAGCTACATTCTAATGGACTCATCTGAAGTCCATCCATAGCACAATCTTCACTGCATCGTTTCTCCATCCTGTGGATCAAAATTATAAGTTTTACTTGAAAAAGCCTAACAGATTAACATGTAGATTCACTATACTAGAATTAGTGGATGTGAGATCTTTTTTCTTCTTTGCAAATCTGAGAATTATTATTTTCAGCATTAGCAAAATGTTTACAAGTCCAATTCTCTATAATGTGGCTTTAAAATGTATTTGTCACTTGACAACATAGATTGATCAATGTCTAATGCAAACAGCTACCATGAATGGCTCAGCATGTGTATACAAAGTGCCAAATCATATCATAAAACAAGTAAATAATATCAGCAAATATGCTGTTTGTAGTG